TAGTGCGGATTTGACGAGGGATGTTTATGACTTTGGTATCGTGCTTCTTGAGATCATCAGTGGAAGGAAGGGTTATGACAGAGATTACACACCTTCAAGCATAGTTGAATGGGCAGTGCCTTTGATCAAGCAGGGTAAGGCTGCTGCCATAATAGATCGATACGCCACTCTACCCAGAAACGTGGAGCCTCTACTTAAACTTGCTGATATAGCCGAACTAGCTGTACGAGGAAATCCCAGCAAGCGACCAACAATCTCAGATATCGCATCTTGGTTAGACCAAATTGTTAAAGATGGATTGATCTTGTAACACTCGTACCTCAACACGGGTTCTCGGCTTCGAAACATACGTTTTGATCGATGCAACAACACATTCCTTTACAGCTATTGTGACTGCTGCTCTCTGCAACTGTAAATTAGTTATTCAGCTTCAGCTTGTACATGAACACATCCAACATTACACTATTTCCTTCAGTAAATGAGTTTCCATTTGCTTCTTCCATCCAGATCGTGCCACCAATGCTGCCAACCTCTTAAACCACTTGCCATATCTAAATAGTGTAACCGACCAAGCCCACCACTACCAGAAAAATCAATCAATGTGGGATCTCACAATTCACTCTCATTCGAGGCCCGACGTCTTTGCTAGCACACTATCCAGTGTCCACCCCTTTAGAGCTCAACGTCCTCGTTGGCACACCGCCCAGTGTCTGACCCCAACCTTTGTAACAGACAACCTTCCTTCCCATCTTCCAAACAAAATATTCTGTAACCATGAGCTTATAATAAATCATAAGCAGTGCTTTGAAGTGTTCAGGTACTTCATTTTTTACTCTTTCTTTCTTCCTTTGGTTCAATTGCAGAAGCACATAAAGGCATCATATGCCTGCCTCCCTGTATGCCATTTGCAAAGCCCATCATCTGAAAATAGGTGGCATGCAAGGAGCCATGCATGCATCAATTTGCCTCTTTAACCACAACAACATTGCCTTTCAAGGACTTGCTTTGCTTTGTTTTTCTTCTAAACAAAGATCATAAACTCACTGTTTTAGTATGATTTTGGAGAAAGTTTCATTACTCACTCAAGCATTCCTCTAAAGAGGTTCATGAGAAGATAAGTCTCGTGATCACTTATTCTTTGGATGCCCTTCAGTAAGAACGGTTTGAGGGAGGTACTCTCTTAGACCCGGTCCACATATCGAATGTGTTATTAGAACACATAGCTAGAGCTTTGCTCCCTTGGGATCTTTTTTTTTATAATTGCTTTGCTCGAGGAGTGAGTTGTTCATGACTTGTTTTACGTTTTGACCATAAATTATGGGATCTCTCTTTTTTATATAATATATTACCACTAAACCCTAAACCCTAAAAAAATTAAATATCTCGAGTGGTTAGAGACGAAAAGTATAATTTAATCTTGAAATTAAAATAATAATTTGTTTAAAAAAAATTCATCTTTATAATAATATTTTTCAAAGCCACAATTACGAACCACATGCATCCACCCCCCAAGTCGCTTGTTCAAGAACTCAATATAACACCAAACCGCCACAAACTTTAGATCTTAAATAATTTTACATTATTATTTAATTAATCGCTTAATAAAATAGCTTTCTAATCTTAAGTACTTATATATAGCAAGAACAACAACTTTAATTATATGCCTTTTAGTTTAAAAAAATTCAATTCTTTTTAAACAATAATATTTTATTTTATAATACTGTTTGTCTAAACCCTCACGTTACTGGATAGGTGTCGTTCGTAGGTGGCATTATGATATTATCTGTCTCGACCCTCATGTTACAGTAGGCGTCGTTCTTGGTGTGGCATTATGATATTGTCTGTCTCAACCCTCACGTTACTAGATAGGCATTGCTCGTAGGTGGCTCATTAACCTACTCTCTTCTCGATATGGTTGTGACATCTAATAACCACTCTATCATGTTTTTAAGTAGACATGCAAATAAATTCCAATCATTCTAACTATCCCAAATTGGTGCATGTACCAAAAAGAAAAAAATAAATATGATCATTTCTAAATTCTGATCTTAATCTTTCTCGAGACCTCGGTCTTAACTCGGACAGTTAATCGGAAACTCGTGGAGATGTTTCTTCTTGAATACAGTGATTAACAAATTATTAACGGGCTTCGAAGATACAACACATGAAGATTTCAGTAAACTCGGCATCCTACCGGCGAATCCAATCGTTACTGGAGAATTGATTCCGATAACCACCGCCCCAGTTCCACCGCCGGCGAGGACCCGCTCGATTTCACCCACCACCAAATCAGGAACAGAGATCTTGAACTTGCCTCTGAATAAAACGAAATCGAATGAATCATTTGGGTAATCAAGTTTGTACCCAACCTCCCTCTGTTTCACCGAGATAAACCGACCCTTATCAATCCCGACGGCGCCGGGAAATCCCAAATCCTGGAGCACCGATGCGGCGGCTGACGAACTCTCTCCGACGAACAGAGCTCTGGCGCTATGGTTGAACAGATGCTTTTCATCGACCAGTTCCCTGATGACGGAGATGGTGAGATTCACAGTTTCTTGGCAATGTTCTGAATTTAAAGAGTCCCAGATGGGGTTCAGGAAGTGGCCCTGAAACAGGTACGAGCCTCGGGGGAGTTGATCTGCTCCGCCGTGACCGGCGGCGTGACAGGGTGGGGATTTGGGCAAATGGAAGGATTTGAAATCGTAAGAGGTGAAAATGTGGACGGCGGGAATAATGGAGACGGCGAAGGCGAACAAGAAGAGGCGGAAACACAGTCGCCTTGCGAATGCAGCGTCGTGTAAGATCGGCGATTTCCCGAGCTTTAAATCCATCGGAAAAATCTAAATTCTTCAGAGAAATCCCAAAAAATGTTCTGTTCGAGCTCTGCCTGTGGAAATGGAAGCTCGCTTGATTTATGGAGAGTAGGGTTACGGCTTGGGGACGAAGAAGATGCTGACGTGGAGTAAAGACTGTGAGCGAGTGAGTGGTCCCCCACTGCAAATTGGCGAATATCTTTTGGGGGAATTAAAAGTAAATTAAAAAAATAGAAGAAAGAAGAAATGGGAAACACGTGGCAGAATTTTAGTGGGTGTAATCTGACATGAGCGTGCCCCAAAGTTGCAAAGCAACTAGGCGTGATTCTATAGGGGAAGGGTAGCCCACCCTGACAACCTGTACCTATGGACACGAGTCAGTTTTATTTATTTTTTTATTTTTAAATAATATTATCATTAAATATAAAAATAGATCCATATTTTTGGATTATATTTTAACATTTTGTGTTAAAGTTTATTTAATTCTTAATTTAATTTTAACCTCGTCGGCTTATTTTATTACGTATAGTTGTTAACCTCACAGTTTTGAAATGTATATGCTAACGACGATACATAACGAACCTAGACGGACAATATCTACTAATAGTAGGTTTAAGCTGTTAAAAATGGTATCAGAACCAAACACCAGACGGTGTGCTAGTAAGGACGATTGTGTCCCAAGAGAGCAAATTGTGAGATCCACAAGGGTTGGAAAGTAAAACGAAACATTCTTTATAAGGGTGTCGAAATCTCTCTCTAGTAACGCATTTTAAAACTGTGAGACTGACGATCATACGTAACAAATCAAAATGAACAATATCTACTAGGATAGGCTTGGGCGGACTAATTTTCTCTCATTAATTTAATAAAAAAATTAGATTTATTAAATAAATGCATAAATTTGAGATAGATAATTAAACAATATTTAAAAATTTAATGCCAAGATTTCCTATTACCATAAAAGCTTTCAAATTTAAATAACTAATTAAATATTTTTCTGTTTGAAGACATAATCATTTAGCAGACTTTCTCGTAAATGTTATATGGTCCACATCATTAAAAAAATTTACTTTTAATTTTTTTTCACTCCAAAATAAATTAATACACACTTGTCCGTTTGTTATTTTTGAAAATATTATATCACATCGATAACTTAAATTATTTATTATTTTTGATGTCACCATATAATTGGTGAAGTAAACTTTTAAAATAATAATTAGTATTTTTATACATTTAACTGTTGGGATCGACGATCTAACAATAAAAACTCAAATGAACTTTAGAAATTAAAACATAAAAAAAAATATAGAAAAATAATATATAATGTTAAGTAATGTTAGATTGTTGATTTTTTCTCGAGCTATCTAGTTTGAAAAAAACCCTAATTTTGAAAAAATTACACCCGACTAATTAAACCAACCGAATTTTTGAAACTAAAATCAAACCTGATCTAATTCAACTTTATCGATATTGTTAGAGTGATGGAGATATTTATAGCTCTATTCTTTTATGGCATTGAATAATAACAAGTTACACAAAATGTACACATACTTTTTACATGATGAACACAATTATGAGTTTCCTTTTTTACTTTAGCTACTTTTCATTTGCTCTTATCTTCATCACCAACCCGGAATCCTAAACAAATTAATAAATTATTTGATGTACAACATAATTGACCTAAATCAATCATATAATAGCATACCCTATACCTACAAATAATATTAGCATAACCCATTATTAGAAACTCTTAGATTACCATTACAAACCTACTAGATTCTCTTCCCTATCTCTATTTTTAAGGAGTGATATAATCACGTTACTTACTAATATAAGTCTCTTAGGATAACCCACGCTTAGGACATGACACTTGATAGCTCCGACATTCTTCTGTAATATGGTCACGTTACTTACTAACACGAGTTGATGTGCATCCTAGGATAACTCGTGCTCAGACCATGACACCTAATAGTTTCGACATTCTCACCACCGTTCCTCGAAAACTTCAATCGGAAGGTTCCTATAAAGTTGTCCCTTTTAAGAAGCAAAACCAAATGTTCTTGAATCCCCACCAAACCCAAAAAAAATGGCCTTCACTCTCGAAATACTCTGTTTTTCCTGCTTCCTGAAGCAAAATCCCTTCTCTTTCCTCTCACCAAAAAACCCAATCACTTTACATTCTGAAATCCCCATTTCACCAAACCAATTTCCTTCTCTTCCCCTTCTTATAAACACCATCTCCGATGCCTCAAAAACAGAGCAATCCCAACAATAAAACTCCTCTGTTTTCGTTTCCCATTCATCATCATGAACGCCCTCTTTCCCATCTCCTTCTTCCTCGTTTCCCTTCTGTTCTGTAATTCAGTTTCAGCTCAATCCACTCAGTCACCAGCCCCCTCCGGTCCGACCAACATCACCGGAATCCTCGAAAAGGCCGGCCAATTCTCGACCTTCATTAAGCTCCTCAAAAGCACCCAACAGAGCGACCAAATCAACAATCAGCTCAACAACTCCAACCAAGGCCAAGGCCTCACTGTCTTGGCTCCCCCTGACAATGCCTTTGCCAATCTCAAACCTGGCACTCTCAATTCCCTCTCCGATCAGCAAAAAGTTCAACTGGTTCAATTCCATGTTCTCCCGAATTTCATCTCCATGTCCCAATTTCAAACCGTTAGTAACCCACTTCGTACCCAGGCCGGAAACAGCAATGCCGGCCAGTTTCCGTTGAATGTCACCACTTCTGGCTCTCAGGTCAATTTGACCACCGGCGTCGTCGACGCCGTCGTCGCCAACACTATTTACACCGACGGTCAATTGGCTGTTTACCAGGTCGATAAAGTGCTTCTTCCGGTTGATCTTTTTGGTAGTGTAGAAGCGCCAGCGCCGGCCCCTGCCAAGCCGGTGAAGGCCGTTTCGGGTTCTGATGCTCCTGCTGCCGCCTCTAAGGACACTTCTAGTGACAATTCTGGCGCCGCTGAGGCGCTGAGTTACCGTTTCGCGGCAGTCGTTGGATTTATGGTTGCGCTTGCTTTGCAGCAATGAGGCTTTCCTCTTTGGTTCAGGGGGGATTTGACGGATGTGTATTTTTTTGGGTGATTACTTGAAGTTGGAAGTGAATTCGAAGAATAATTTTATTTCTTTTCAATGTCTCTCGTTTTGTCTTTGCTGATTGTGTTTTTCAGTTTTGTAATGAAACTAAGAGATTTATTTTTGTTGTCATTTTCTCAATTCAAATTTGCACGTTTTATGGAAAGCCATTTGTTTTGTTCTTGTATTGTTTAGTATACTTTTGGAAGGTTTAAAGTACCTGCTTCATCCAAATTTGAATACCATTTTCATAACAAGTGTCTAAATGTACCTAAAATTTAGTGCTCAAATGACTCTTTTACAATAAGTTTTTCTGCCTGTTCACTACCATGAACAAACTTTTTCCTTTTTCCTCTAGTTCTTTCTCTCTCTGTGCCTTTGTTGGGAGTTACACGTCGAGGTTGAATGTTGTCATGGTTGTTGGTTGTCTCTTGTCGTTAGTTGTCACTATTGCATCTCAATAGCATTAGGTGAGTTGTGCATTCGTGCGTTGTTTAGAGAAAGAAGTGAGTTTAAATTTAAGTTAGTTTATCAAAATATTCTCAACTGTACTAGCCTAAGTCCATCGCTAACAAATATCATCCGCCCTAACCCATAACGTATCACTACAAGCCTCAGGATTTTAAAACTCGTCTAAAAGAAAAATTTATGTACCTTTATAATAAGAAAGGTTGTGTTCCCCTCTCCCATCGTAGTGGGATCTCACAAGTACACTCTATTCAATTGAGTATCCAAATAATAGTTCATCCTAACTCATTTAGGATATTTCTTCCATGTATACCTTTGGCATGCTAGTTTCTAATCCATCTAAAGATTTTATTTACCTTATTAATCTCGAAGGCCTATACTTTTTTCTTTTTAAAGTACTTTTCAAAGTACAAGAAGTATATGTCAATTATTATCGAGTTATCGAATACCTTCCTACATTGACCTATCATCTTCCTAGTTCAACAAAAGCCGGGCTTTTATCACAACCTTAATATAGACTCAACATCTCTGTCCCCATTAGAAACATGAAAAGCCATGTTTTAAACTGTATATGGAAGAGGAAGAATAGGATGGCTTACTAAACTAAAGTTGAATAAGTTTTTCTTATGAGAAACTACCATGTTCACAGTATCCTTTAAATGGAAGAGAACTGACTGACTTGGTAAGAAAGGAAGGAAAGAAAAAAGCCTAATTCTTTCAGGAGGAATTAGAGAAGGAAAGAAGGCTTACCAACTCTCTTGAGGAAGAACAACACAGAGTAGCTCTCCGTTGCTTTCTCCATAGCAAGAGGGAGCTCAGTGATACCTCACCTATTCCTTGCTTTTGAGATATGATGATAGCTTACCGTTTTCTGAAGCAAATTCCTGAAAAAAGCTACATCAGAAAAGAAAGCTTCTGGACAAAATATAATTTTTGGTCGATTGGCTATTCCTTTCAGTAATATGAATATCAGAAAAAGTTATAAACTATATTACACCAACTTCAGAGAGACAGAGAGAGATGATAAAAGAAAAAAAAAAAAAAGAAGAAGAAGAAACTACATTCAATGTAACTTAAGCAATGGTTTATGCAAAGATGGTTATACATCAACGTATTACAATTACAACTCACGAATTTCCCCTGAGATCATCTGCTGAATATTTTCTTGCTTCATTAATAATGTTATGCATAGCAAAATCTAGCTCAATGAACATTTTTCTGAACTAAGAAGCCTCTATCAGTAAGTCTACCCTAAGGAAATTCTACTTTTCAGCAAATAAATATTTTGATCCCCCCCCCCTATGGTTAATGTTTTCTTATCACCATAAAAATGTCAGAGAAAGGAGGAGGAACCAGTGCTTTTTGCTGAAATCAGAAATGGTACTCAAAGCCACCACCGGGAAAGCCACCCCCACCAAATCCACCGTCGAAAGTAAATGTAAATTGCTGTCCTCCACCACCGAAAGGATTGAAACCTCCTCCACCGCCCATGCCCATTTCTTCAATGTCTTCCCCTCTATCATATCTTGTACGTTTTTCTTCATTGCCGAGGACCTGCAAGACATGACTTGTACCACTCAGCTACATGTTATCCATCCATATTGCATTAGTGCCTGGTTTTTCACTGTCCTAATGACCAACTTTTCACAGGGAAAGAATTCATTATATGCATGTACCGTTAAAACCCGAAATAAGTAAAAGCAATTCCAGCAAATGGTAAGCAGAAAGTGTTGGAACTATGGACTTTTTGCAATGGATAAGAAGTATAACATTTAGATATTTTTTTTGTCTGACCTCATATGCAGCAGCAATATCTTGGAATTTGGCTTCTGCTTCTGCTCTATTTTCCACATTTTTGTCAGGGTGCCATTGCAAAGCAAGCTTCTTATAGCCCCTTTTGATTTCAGCAACAGAAGCAGTCTTAGAGACCCCCAAAATTTTGTACCAGTCCTTTCGTTTGCTCATCTTTAAAGCCTTTTCAGCCCTCATCAGCGACTCCCTAATATTCATATCCTGCAAACATCATTGATCAAATTGACGATAATCCACAAGTGTAAACGAATTAAAACTTTACCCAATTTTGTTTCATCGAACGATGATTAGTTTTTATTAATATGATTTGGTATAAATTAAATTTATCCAACCAAACTTATCCTATTGTTAAATCTAACATAAAATTTTAGATATTTCTTGTGTAAATGAAAAAAGAAAAGAATAAGACAAAATCTGTACTTATGACATAAACCAACCTCGCAACTAGACTAATCAATAAAATATTAAGAAATGGTTTGTCCTTAATACATCAATTTAGAACTAATCTCATTGTGAGCCTTCTCTGATTAAGGAAAGACCGATGTATTAAAGCAAACAAGAATTTTACGAACAGTTTTATCTACAACTTATATAACTATTAAGGCTACCCGAATAGTTTTGTCTACAGCTTGCAGAATTAAAGGAAAGGGTTCTGACATCCCGGGAGTTGAGGGGAAAAAAACTGAATGATAACTACCTGCGGTGAACTTTGAGCCGCTGACTTCAGATCTTCAACAGCACCCTCCCAGTCCTCCGTTAAAAGCTTTGCTTCACCTCTCTGGAAAAGACAATTCCCAACATTATAGAACTTGAGATCTTATACACATGCACTAACAAGCTTCTGTCACTTTCATTAAACTAGATTACGGCAATTGCCAAGACATTCACAGCAGATGGTTTAAAACGAACTTAGGATAAGATATAGGTTAGTTGATGCTTGGGTCTCCAACAATGCACAAAAATATAGATCTTCGATGCAAGGAAGAAGATGATAATCATAGCCCAACATACAGCTTAAGCATGGCGAAGGTGAACCAGAGCAACTTCCATAAACACACTATGGAGATAAAGTGGGTCCAGAAAGGGAAATGCAGTGATAAGCAGAAAGGTTCCAACAGTAATAAAGTAGATGGCATCGACATCCACTTCGGTAAAATAGAATCCACAAAAAGGGGAGAAACAGAGAGATGAAAGTTAAAATGAAAAGGCAAACCTGGACCAAGGCTTCAATAAGGTCTCCATCAATGCTTAGTGCTTCACTGCAACTCGTAACAGCATCCTTTCCACGACCAAGATTGACCAGTACCTTGCATAAGCCAAGATGAAGATGTACATTGTGTGCGAGATGATTGGGGTCTAATGCAAGGGCTGCATAATATTCCTCCACTGCTAACCGCAGCTTACCCTTGCTGACATTATCCTCTGCCTGTCAACGAAGTATAAAAACTAAAATGAAGCACAAGATGAACAGCATTTTAAATTTCATCAATTAAAAACTTAATCAGACCAAAAAGGGTCCAAAGAGATTTCTTTAGTTGTAAGCTTCCCTCTCCCAAGCAAAAGCAGAACATCCAAGACAATGTGAATTAATAAATTTGTTTATGCTATTTGGGCTTACAATCTTGGTCTTCTTGAGCAGATTCTTCAGTCCAAAATATGCTTTCTTCAGTTCACCATGCTCTGGATCTAGGCGAAGACCCTTCTGAAAATGCCTGGAAAAATTGTTCATGTGTAAAAATATGTCCATGTTCTATTAAGTAATGCTTTCAACAATATGTACTGTCAAATCAACCTCGAGGCAACATCATGATCTGCCAAATAGTAGTAGGCACGCCCACGGAGTAATAACGCATCCAGATTGCTTTCATCTTCTTTAAGAATATATCCAGTCTCAAGGATGGCAGCAGAATAGTCCTTAGTTGCCAACAACAATTTTATTTTCAGGAATTTTGCCTACATCATATCAATATGCACGATAAGTAAAGATTCAAGAGGATAATTCAAAGTACTAAAAAGCCTAATTGGATAAAAGATGGCATCACCTCAGAGCATGCTGGAGAGAAAACAAGTACAACTTTATCCAAAAATTCCAAAGATTTTGTGTGATCTCCTGTATCAAAAAGCTTGAGAGCCGTTTCTAAAGCACTCTGAGCCTGAAGCAATTGAGAAAGCTCCTTTTCACCCGCTGGATTTCCAGGTTTTAACTCAAGATACTTCTTGTAGCTCTTCTCGGATTCATTATATCTACATCAGCCAAAAAGTTCCTGAATCATATAATTATACAATCAGAATGGAAGGTGGAGAGTGAGAGTAAGGTTTTCTACATGCCACAATGGTTTAAATTTCCTTTATAATATTCTCCATCTCAAATATAATTTTTGTGTGAAGTAAGTCAAAAATCTTCAATGAGAAAATATACTCTTTGTTTACTTAGGAGCCAAGGTTCACAAAACAAAATGATGTCACAACTCCACATACCAATATTTGGTTGAAAAGACGTAAAATAATCTTAAGCGCCAACAGTGAGAATGCTGAAAATACTTGGGGTTTTTTTTTTTTTTTTTTTTTTTTGTCGTGTTTGATTAGAAAGTAAACTCTTCTAGAATTTATATTTTCTTTCCTTTGCGTCCATCACATTTGAGATAGATCCTTTCTTTAATTTATTTTTATTTCCCTCAAGATGATGCCGCCTTACCCTCTTTATTATTTATACAATCTTTTTATTTTAGCACAAGTAAATCTAGATTTCTCTTCTACTAAAAAGTATATGAAATTTTAATATTTTCCATTCTCATAACTTTTGCCAATAACCTTTCCAATTTGTCATAATATTTTTCATTCTCACCATATGCTTCTCACAATGAAATATAGAACAAAGAATATCAGAAAAGGAAGCTTTTAAG